GGTATTGTCCCTTGACTCCCTTCCGGGGATGAAACCCACCTGATCTGGGTCCACCAATTCCGGCAAAATGTCCCGTAGGCATGTGGCTAGGACTTTGGTGAAAAGCTTCAGGTCTGCATTTAGGAGGGATATCGACCTGTAGTTCATTGGGTCCTTCCCGTCTTTCGTGATAACCACTACAGTTGCTGTCAGGGAGTCTCTGGGGAACATGCCCCCCTTCCGTATGAAGTTTTATGCCTTTTAGGAGCTGTGGCATAAGCACGTCCCCAAACTCTTTGAGATATCTGGCCAACAGTCTGTCCGGGCCTGGGGCTTTATTCAGCTTGGTGGACTTCAGGGTCGCTTGTAGTTCCATGAGCGTGATGGGCGCCTCTAGCTCCACCACGTCCGCGTCATTCAGGGTTGTCGCTACATGCTGTTGCACATATGCTGTCATCCGTGTGGTCCTTGCTCGCTCCTTCTCAGGAGATTCCCTGCGCTGCAAGTTGTATAGGTCCGTGTAATATGTATGGAATTCTGCCGTGATTTTGCCTGACAGTTGAGTCGCCAGTCCCTCCTTCATTTTAATTTTCATGATGTGGCTCATACGCCTTTGTTTCTGTAGCATTCTGGCAAGGAGCCTCCCGCATTTGTTCGAGTAGTCATAGAAAAAACGGTTGGATTTGAGAATCGTGTGTTGAAGTTTTTGGGATAGGAGTTCTTGCCTCCAATAGGTGGTTTTGTGTGCACCTTCCAGCTCTTAAATTTTGCGGGTCAGGTCCTCCATGTGTTTCCTCTGCTCTCTTTTCCTCTGTGTGCAGACCTGGATGAGGTGTCCCCTTATGACACATTTGTGTCCTTGCCAAATTGTCAGCAGTATTGTGTCCGGCGTGTCGTTCTCTTCGAAGTATGTGGTGATGGCGGAGCGGAGGTCCGCCACCAAGGGTATCTCCACCAGTATGGATTTGTTCATCCTCCATTGGTGTTCTCTGGGTCTAAACAGAGAGGATTTAATATGGATTGAGACGGGTGCGTGATCCGACCAGCCCGCCGTCTTTATGTCCGCCGATATGAGCAGGGGCAGGTGCTCCTGAGCGAGTAGGATGTAGTCCAATCTGCTATATCATTGGTGGACTGTGGATTAGTAGGAGTAGTCCCTGTCTGTTGGGTGTAGCACCCTCCAACTGTCCATGAGGCCCACCCCCCTCTGGACCTCCTTGGCTTCCCCCATTACCAGGAGCAGGCCTTCCCTGAACTGCTCTAGTCTATGTAGAGTACTCCTCAGGAAGCGATGTTGTTGGGTGTTGGGGGCATAGATGCTAGCAAAGGTGTAGTTAGTGTCTGCAATTGTGCCTTTGAGGAATATATAGTGTCCCATGGAATCCCCACATGTCTCCATGCACGTGAACATGTACCTTGAGTCCCAGAGGGCTGGTAACATCCTGTAACATCGTGACGCCCACAAGGAGCGCAGGCGGTGCGACCTCCGTTCAGGCGCGTTTACGCTCCTGCATGTTGTGCAACCAGATGTGGAGCAGTGTCGGCGTAAACTGCACCACCGCGGGGCCGCCCCCACTGTAGTTGAACAGGGAGGGGGAGAGGGGCGGGGGAGGGAGAGTGGCCCTCCGCGGAGGGAGGGTCAGGAGGCGTCGACATCAGGATAAGCCGTTCTGGATGGTCGAATTTGTAGTGTTTCCCCAGCATGGGGACCAGCATGGGGACCCACTTGGGGGGGTGGGACCAGGTGGTGTCCGCCTCTCCCCCGAGTCTGGCAGTCTCTGTGACTGGGTGCCTGTGGTTGGGCAGTGTGTGGAGCAACCCTTGTGGAGGTGGGCCACACTCCCCACACCAGAGTAGAGTAGGCACCTGTCACTTGGGGTGTGCGCTGTCGAGCACAACACAGTTTTAGTGCCTTGGCACGATTCCCTAATTTAGCTACCAACTATGAACTGTGAACCTAACTTAGTTGTAACGTGTAACAAATATTAGGAGAAAGTGTAACCAGGTTATCCACTAACCCGCATCCCGGGCCGGGTTGGCATGTCTTGCACTATGGTGTGATGGTCGTTGAAAATCTTTTGAGGTCTGGGCTTACTGCGGTGGTATCTTGTGGGTATGGGCCTAATGTCCCTTCAGCGTGCTGTGAGCAACCTAGCGTGTGTGGTGCGTCCGTCCTTGGGTCCGCATAAGGCCGTCAAGGGGCCGGTCCCTAGCCTCCGCCTCTGTCCGGGTGTGGGGCTCCGGGTTTCGTCCGTGCTTCTCCCCATTGTGAGTCAGGCTGGGCGGTAGTGCAGTCTAGTGGCTTTAGATCACCGGGTCATCAGGCGGGCTGCAGGGGTCCTGGTCGGGTTCTTGGGTCTCGATCTGTACCTCCGTCAACCCTGACGGTTGTCCGCTATGCCTACCCCTGTGTCTCAGACCTCGTTCCCCCCGTCTTCACCTCTGCTTCCTATGTCGTGTCGGGGTTTGCCGGTCTGGAGGGGGGCTGGTGCCGTCAGGGTCTCTGTATCTGCCCGTGCCTATGCCAGTCCTTCCCTTCCTCTCTGCGTCATGTTCCTGTGCGCCCGTAGATGGCGGACCTCCGCGGGCACATCAGCTCCTAGTATCTGCCTGAACAGCGTTTCCAGAGTGGCGGTTATTGGGGCAGCGTCCGCCTCAGGTAGGCCTTGTACGCATACATTATTACACCTGCTGCGGTTCTCTAAATCTTACCCATTTGTTTGCCACTTTTGTGTATCTTACCTATGTATGTGTCTCTCTCTAACCTTCTGTGTGCTCTGGAGATTTACTGATTCTTCAACAAAGATTTTTTCTAAGACTTTTATTTTTACTTTACAGGTAAGAGTCAGATACAGGAAAGGTTTTTTTGATTGCACACGGTTTGGTTTCCTGTTGGTAATTGGCAAGGCATCTGATTTGATTAGTTAGTTGTTAGCTAATTGCTATTGATTGTATGTTAATAAGCATAGGTCTACCCAGGTGTTTAACATTTCTAGTAGGTGGTGCTTTTAGGAGTTATATAAGGGTTGTGGTCATTAGCTTGGCAAATATAGCTTGGTTGCTGCTTCTTAGTGCTGCTTTAAAGTGTGTGCTTGGAGATATTCTGGTGGTAAACTGGAGGTAATCTGAGGTATACAGGAGGTGAAAAAAAATAGATAAAAGTTAGATTTGATTAGTTTGATTTAAATTACTAACCTCATTAAAATGGCAGACTTAGTTCAGTTTAATAGTTGTTATGCATTTGTTTCATGTTCCACTTTTTGGAGATTTGGATGCTGTCTCATCTGTAGACAGTTCTCTATTTTGCAGCAGGAGATTGTATTTTTGAAGTCTGAAACTCATGCTGAGACTGTTGCAAAGCTACTGCCAAAGAGACAGCCTAGGAATGGCAGATGGATTACTTTAGAATCTGGCAGACTTAGAGTTGAGGATAAAAAGCATATTGCACAGTCTGTGGCTTTACATAATTCATTTTCAGCACAAAAAAACAGAAAAGCCAGATTAGAGTTTGCCATACAACATCTAAAAAAGCCTTCACAGTTCTGGAACAACATCCTATGGACAGAGGAGACTAAGATCATCTTGTACCAGAGTGATGGGAAGAGAAGAGTATGGAGAAGGAAATGAACTGCTCATGATCCAAAGCATACCACCTCATCAGTGAAGCATGGTGGTGGTAGTGTCATGGCATGGGCATGTATGGCTGCCAAAGGAACTGGTTCTCTTGTATTTATTGATGATGTGACTGCTGACAAAAGCAGCAGGATGAATTCTGAAGTGTTTCGGGCAATATTATCTGCTCTTATTCAGCCAAATGCTTCAGAACTCATTGGACGGCACTTCACAGTGCAGATGGACAATGACCCGAAGCATACTGCAAAAGCAACCAAAGAGTTTTTTAAGGGAAAGAAGTGGAATGTTATGCGATGGCCAAGTCAATCACCTGATCTGAATCCGATTGAGCATGCATTTCACTTGATGAAGACAAAACTGATGGGAAAATGCCCCAAGAACAAGCAGGAACTGAAGACAGTTGCAGTTGAGGCCTGGCAGAGCACCACCAAGGAAAATTCCTTGATGGCAGTGGCCTCTTTCAGCAGGATAATGCACCTCTGAACACTGAAAAAATTGTTCAGGAATGGTCAGAGGAACATGACAAAGAGTTCAAGGTGTTGCCTTGGCCTCCACATTACCCAGATCTCATTTTAATTAAACATTTGTGGGATGTGCTGGAACAACAAATCCCATCCATGGAGGACCCACTTCGCAACTTGCAGGATTTAAAGGTTTGGCTCCTAATGACTTGGAGACTGATACTACAAGACACATTAAGAGCTATTTTGGCAGCATGATAATATAATAATAATAATAATAATAACTAGTATTTATATAGCGCCTTTCTCCCAGTGGGACTCAAAGCGCTTTTTAGCGCACGCTCTCGAATTAACCAAATCAAAATATCAGGCACGAGGTTTGGAGGTTGTTGCTGATCAGTGTATCTCAGAGAATAGACTAAAGTATGTGTTTGTTGCCTAAGTTTATATGATGAATTAAAGGTTAATAATGAAAATCAAGGATATATTCAAGAACCATATTTCAAGAAATTTGTATTTTAAATTCATTTACTTTTTACTTTAAAATATTTGGGAAGTTTGTTTTCGATGATTAGTGCACCAAATTGAGTGGTTTTGCTTTTACCAATACAGTAAAATGCATTGTTTCAGCTGACAGACTTGATGTCTTTTGTGGTTAAGGTCACGCTATCCTTTCTTTCCAATCATTGCATTGATTACTAAGCCATAAATCTCCCGTGTGGCGCAGTTTATAATAACCCGACATCATGTCATGTGGGCAAAAGGCCTTACAAACAGATGTTACCAACGAAGAAAGGAAAGCCATGAATAGCTGACTTGTTCTGTCTCAACTCAGCTTAAACTGACATTTGAAGGTTAGCTGAGTAGCTGCCACATGACCAGCAAAATCGTGCCATTCTGTAAGAACAACTAAATCCAGTTGAAACATTAATCTTTGCTTTTTACCCTTGAGACATTTTCAATTCAATAGCTATTTGCACTGCAGTTTTAGTGTGAGAAGAACATTATGTATGTACGGCTGCTGAAAGTACAGTCAGCCTAGAACAACATTTTATTATTCAGGACATTTTATTTTTTCTCTTTAAGGTAATGCAGCTACCATAAAAGGATCTGCAAATGTTATATTACACATAAAAAGCTCTGTATACTCTGCTATTACTTTAATAGTTTTCAGCATGAGAAAAAAAGGTCATTGATAAGTGTTTAGATTAGATTTTTTAATGGTTGTCACTGTTACAACTTTTCAAAGGTGATAAACTGTTTTATTTTTCTTTCTACCGTGTTTCTCCGAAAATAAGACCGGGTCTTATATTAATTTTAGTCCCAAAAAACACACTAGGGCTTATTTTCAGGGTAGGGCTTATTTATTTATGGTACCGGTATGTACATTGAACCCCCCCTTTAATTAATCCACCCCCCTTTATTAAATCCACCCCCTCTAATTAATCCACCCCCCTTTAATTAATCCACCCTCCTTTAATTAATCCACCCCCCCAATAAATCCACCCCCCCAATAAATCCAGCCCCCTCTAATTAATCCACCCTCCTTTAATTAATCCACCCCTCCTTTAATTAATCCACCCCCCCTTTAATTAATCCACCCCTCCTTTAATTAATCCACCCCCCTCTAATTAATCCACCCCCCTCTAATTAATCCACCCCCTCTAATAAATCCACCCCCTCTAATAAATCCACCCCTCCTTTAATAAATCCACCCCCCGTTTAATTAATCCAACCCCCTTTAATAAATCCACCCCTCTAATTAATCCACCCCTCCTTTTAATTAATCCACCCCCCTCTAATTAATCCACCCCCTCTAATAATCACCCCTCCCTTTGTAATCCACCCTTTCCTTTTAATTAATCCACCCCTCCTTTAATTAATCCACCCCCCCTAATAAATCCACCCCCTCTAATAAATCCACCCCCCGTTTAATTAATCCAACCCCCCTTTAATAAATCCACCCCCCTCTAATTAATCCAGCCCCCCCTTTAATTAATTCACCGCCCCCTTTAATTAATTCAGTCCCAGACATAAAATATCTACTCACAGATGCCTTCCTTGCCCGCCGAGTCCGACCACTGGGTGCCTCACCGCCCGGAAATGGATCCTTCCGCTGAAGATCCGTGAAGGCAGACTGACGACGCTGCGCACGTCGTCATCACGTTGCGCGATGCCGCGGCCTGCAACGCTCCTCCTCCTCCTCATAGAAGAAGGAAGTCCCGCCGGACCGAAAGGTACAATGCCTAGGTCTTATTTTCGGGGTAGGGCTTATATTGCAGCCCACCCCGAAAATTCAGCTAGGTCTTATTTTCGGGGTAGGGTGTATTTTCGGGGAAACACGGTATGCTTTTCTTTGTGTGTGACAGAAGGTTAATCAAAACTGCCGTGATAGCAAATAGCTTTATGGAGCTCAATGTGTTTATTGCATTTATGCTTAAAACTGAAATTAAAGCACAGGCATATTAATGAAAACTAAAAAATGGTCATTTTCATTGAATTCCACAAACTAATATACATAAGAAGAAGTGCCGGTAGATTTAACCAAAATAGCCATTACTTTTAATCCATAATAAATGAATATGTTAAAATCATGGTCATGTGAATCAATTTCATATGACTAAGAAAATGAATCTACGTACTGTAAATGTCATTACTATATTACTACTGCTTATCTTGACACACATTAGTACTTTGAACCTTATGCTATTAATTTGGCTAATGGGGTATTGGCTAGATCCCAAATGAACACATTAGGACTGTAGGAGAAAAGACACAAAGTATGGACTACAAAGAACTTGCAAATGAATCTCCCTATTTTATGATTTCTAGAATAAAACATAGCAGCTCCCTCATACGATCCCCACGACCGTCCTGTAGGCATTACTCATTACAAAGTCGTGCCTAATGCATTTATGAGAGTTCTACAGTCTGCCTCTTTTCATGCTGAAAATTCTGATTTTTCTTCTTTTTGAAGACATTTTTTCTCTTGCAGCTGCCATATGTTAATATATGGAAAAAAAAGCCCATAAAATTTATGTAAAAAAGGAAAAGAAAATAAATGAAATAACCAGATGAAACAGATTTATTTTCAGCACAGAAAGCAGTGGTGGGGGTTCTTAGGAACACAACACTACAAGCATTTTTGTACCAAAGGCTGATCATATTACAGGTCTGGTTTATTTAAAAAAAAAAATACACATGTGGTGAAACATAGAAGTTCCATTGTTTCTTTATTATAGTAATGGTTTTTTTACGTGAAAGAGGAATGCACATGTTAAAACTCAACTTCTTTCCAGAGTTTAAATCTTAAAACAAAACCATTATTACTACATATTCTATTATTCTGCTATTCAAGATTTTCTTTAATTTTCTATGATGCAGATATACATATTCATAGCCAATGAAGGCCTATATTTTTTTTTAACAGGAAACAAGCGAATAAACATGGAACAAAGCTTCAGTTCTCTTTTCAATGTTCTGAATGCTTTTTTGTGTAGACAGAGAGCCAGACATGGTAAATGAAACATTATAGATGCAAAATGAAAGATGTTATTCAGTAACCGTATTGTTTTAACTGTAGTAAGATTTAATTTGAAGTGTTTGTGGAGTTATTAGCAGTGTTGTTTTTCCTGTCTCCAGTGCACAGGAATATTTAAAAAATATTAAAAAAAAAACTGAATGTTTTTTTGCATGAACAGAGTATTCAATGTGTGAATAGATTATTAATCCAAGGAGAAATCTAATTGCCATCATGGAGTCAAGAATTATTTTTTTCCCCTTTTTGTGGAATACTTGGAGATGGCTACAATTGTTATATTTTTTACCTTCTTGTGGATCAACAACATAAAAGAATGGTTGAACTTGATAGACTTTAGTCTCTTTCAACCTAGACAACTATGCAACTTTTTTCAATAGTGATCCAACTAAATGGATTGTTATGGCACATTGTTGGTGTCCAAAAATGTATGTAAGATTGAGTTGCAGCCAAACATAAAAATGGAATCAATTCAGTTGTTGAGATTCACTAAAGTTCTCTCCCCGGTCCGTAGGCACATTGCAGGGCTGACACTTTGACAATGGGGGGGAATCTCGGGCGGGGGGGGGCAATTGCCCCACCTCTGGATCCGCCACTGGTGCAGTGTTTACATTAAAAATCCTGTAGGGTCAGACAGTAGATACCTAATAGTGACCCTTGAAATGCTTGTGCATGATTTTTTTTATTTTTTTTTAACTAATCCAAGTATGTCCATAACATCAGAATGTGTATGCAAGGACATGTTTGTATTGAGGTCTATATGTGTGTGTAAAGACAAGGCCATATTTGCATGTAGTTTATGTGTTAGTACAGGTTTACATGTGTGCGGGGTCAGAGTGCATGAACACCAGGCTATAAGTTTCTGAATACAGGGTGATGTATGTGTGTGCACAGTGTGTTAATACAGGAGTGTATATGTACGGAGAGAGAATGTGCTTGAATGCACTAATAATTACCACCACTAAATCACATTAGTAATAATCACAGGGGGATAGTGTAGGGGAGGGTTAGGGTAGTGGGGCAGGGGTTTAGAGGGGATAAGGGATAATAGGGGCTGCAGTGGAAGCATGGGGGTAGGATCTGTAGTTGGTGCAAGGGGTATAGGGGCTCTAGAGGGTTCTTGGGGTAGGGGCTGTAGTGTGTGCAGAGTGTAACACTGTATTGGGTGGGGGGTTTAGGGGCTCTAAAGGGTAGTTCATGCATGGGAGAAGTGGCTGTAGTGGGTGATTGGGGTAGCGTGTGCAGTTGGCGCATGGGGGTAGAACGTGCAGGGGGTACAGAGGGGAAGATGCTGTAGGGGGTGCATGGGGTAGTGGGTGAGGGGGTAGGGGCTGTACTGTGTCCAAGGAGTAAAAGCTGCAGTGGGTGCAGGGGTTTTAGGATCTCTAGAGGGTGTCTGGGGGTATAAGGGATCTAGAGGGCTCCTGAGGGTAGAGGCTGTAGTGGGTGCATTGGGGTAGGGGCTGTAGTTGTTGCAGGGACTGTAGTGTGCACAGAGGGTAGGATAGAACATTTGCTTAAAGATTGAGAACAGAGAGTTGTCAGTGATTTTCAAGCTGGGCAAAAATGGTTAGTGGTGTCTCTCAGAGTTCTGTTCTGGGTCCCCTTCTATTTAACATATTTATAAATGATCTTGAAATAGGCATTGAAAATCATGTTTCACAGTTTTTAGATGACATAATACTCTGTAAAATAATACAATGTGAGCAGGATATTGCTTTGCTGCAGAGGGATTTAGATAAATTGGTGCACTGGGCACTCAAATTGCAGATGAACTTTAATGTAGAAAAATGCAAAGTTATGCATTTCAGGGTAAAGAATGCACAAGCAACTAGCACCATAAATGGCAATGAATTAAGGATAACAACACATGAGAAGGATATGAGAATTTTTATAGACAACAAACTATGCAACGATGTGCAATGTCGATCGGGACATTCATTCTCATGATAAAAATACGACTTTGCTTCTTCATAAGTCACTTGTAAAAACCACACCTTGAATATGCTGTGCAATTTTGGGCACCTGCTCTAAAGAAGGATATTATGGCACTAGAAAAAGTGCAGAGGTGAGCTAGAAAATTAATAAAAGAAATTGAACTTTTAAGTTATGAAGAAAGGTAAAAAAAAGTTAATCTCTTTAGTTTGTAAAAATTGCACCTCAGAGGGGATATGATAACATTATACAAATATATTTATGGCCAATACAAACCATTCAGAGAGAAAGGAAATAAATAAATAAATAGGGATAGATATGGAACATACTACCTAAGTAGTGCTCTCAAACTAGATTTAAGATATACCATACAATATCTAAAATGACCAAATGAATAGAAAAATCTATGCCTTACAAGGGTACACTAGATAACATTGGTGCTGTAGACACTTTAAACCATATAAAGAGGTAATGTTTAACCGGGAAACCAGCTTATTCCTCAAATAGCATCTGTAAAATCAAAAGCAGAAAAGAACATAGTGTATTTCACTAATAGAAAACATTTATTGAAGTAGATTAAAAACACTCACACTTTTACAATGTTAAAAGTGCCTGTCAGGGAACACCGTCCCTACACACATCCAGTCCTGGGCAATACTCCTCTTC